CCAATCCTGATCCCCTTGCAGCCATGTCTCCGTGATGCCCACCACGTCATATCTGCCAATTTTGATCTGCACCACAAGCTCATTTACCTTCTTTCTAATACTATTTGCATTCAGATATAACACCTTCAGTCCTGTATTAACCGTCCCTCTTCACATCGTCACTCGTTTATCCAGTGCTTGAAGTTTGATTCCTAACCCTTTCCAAACACTCTGTCCTATTTGTGTCTGTGCAGGAGACTTTAAAACCTCTCCTGAGTTCTCCTTACCGGTCATTTTTTACGTATTTTTCCACACAGTGGAATCTACCCCTACAGATGTTAGCCTGTTGCTTTGTTCCCCACTGAAGGAAGTTTTACCCTTCCCTCCCTCCTCCCCCCCACTTTCTAGTTTAAAGTCCTGTTGACCAGCTTATTTACCCTTTTCGCAAGAACATTGGTCTCAGCTCGGTTCAGATGGAGACCGTCCCAGCTCCAATAATGATGCCAGTACCCCATGAAAAGGAACCCCTCTTTCCCACACCACTCCTTCAGCCACATATTTACTTCCCTTATTCTCATATCCCTATGCCAATTTGCACGTGGCTCAGGCAGTAATCCAGAGATTATAACCCTTGAGGACCTGCTCTTTAATTTCATTCCTACCTCCCAATAATCCCTGAACAGGTCCTCTTTCTTAGTCCTGCTTATGTTGTTTGGTCTGATGTGGACCACAATAACTGGATCCTCCCCTTCCCTCTCAAATATCAAGCCAGTCAGAGATATCCCTTACCCTGGCACCGGGCATGCAACACACCATGCAGGACTCTCGATCCTGCTTACAAAGGATACTATCTATTCCCCTGACTATAAAGTCCCCTACAACTACCACTTGTTTTTTTGCTCATCTCTTGAATGGCCTCCTGTGCCGTGGTGCCGTGGTCAGTTGGCTCATCTTCCCTGCAGCCCTTTTCCTCATCCGTACAGGGAGCAATTATCTTGTACCTGTTGGCCAAGGTCGAGAGCTGAAACTCCTCAGTTCCAGAATGCAGGATCCCTCTACCTTCCTCACTTGGAGTCATCCCCTGCTGTTCCTGGCCACTGACCAAATTTGAAGCACTTAATCTAGCAGGTGTGACTGCCTCCTGAAACACAGTATCCAGGTACTTCTCCCCACTCCCGGATGTGCCGCAGTGTTTGAAGCTCAGATTCCAGCTCATCAACTCTGAGCTGAAGTTCCTTGAGCAACCAACACTTATTGCACACATCGGTGATCACATCTGCAGCGGGATCAGCCAGCTCCCACACATCACCAGAAAGACAAGTGGTAGTTGTAGGGGATTCTATAGTCAGGGGAATAGACAGTGTCTTTTGTAAGCATCTTAGAAGAAAAATCAGAGTTAACATTTCAGGTCTGGTGACCCTTCCTCAGAATGTGAATGTGAATGCGAGTACAAATATAACTTAAAAAAACTATAGATTCAATTAATTTATTTTGCAATTATTTCAGCTGGGAATGCATGATGTTGTACCATACTACAACTTGTATATTGGTTTTCATGGTAAGAAAACGTCTCAAGGAACTCAACACCGACTGTAACATCTATTCCAATGCAAACACTTGATTCGCTCAATGTACTTTCAGTTAACCTAAAGATTTTCAGGAATGGAGCTAAACGTCAAAACGAGACTACCTGCACTCGAGTTACATCAGGTTTACAGCACAGAATCAGGCTATTAAGCTATTAAGAATAACAAGTCCTGGATGGCAATCATGCTCCTCGAGCCTTCTTACATAACCCCATGCACCGTTACAGGTTCATCAACTTCCAATGATGTTTGTTGTAAATCTTTTTGGGATACTGCTTTTGGATCACTCATTGGATACAAAAATTTTCTCCCAAACATCTTAATTTATTATTATTCACCTATATTTTAAAAGCACTTCATTTCACTGGACCTATTTGTTCACATCTTGACTTTTTTCCTCATCCCTTGTTCAGTCCCTTCCCACTCACATTCTTGATTCTTGTGATGCTTCATGTCATTTCCTTGATTTCCGGCCCGAGCCACCTCCTCTTACCAGGTTGTACAATCCCTCTCAACATCAAGATAGTCAGAAGGCTCTCCATTTCTTCCTTGAAAAGTGGCTTGCACAATCTCCACCCATTCCTTCGCATGGTCATGCTTGTTCACATTTTGAACAACCTCTCCATTAACACATTTAATTTTCTCCAAGTCAAAAGTACGGCCATGGCCAGTTTTATCTGTCTCTGTGGGGTATGTGGAACATTCCTTGTTCCAGTCTTACTCAGGCCCCAGCCACAATTCTTTCTCTATACACACACACACCCCTTCAGTGCCACTTCCTGCTGTTGTCGGGAATTGGAAAAATTAATCAGTTTTGCTTCCAATTTCCATCCATCTCTCACTTTCACTTGGTCCATTGGACTCTTCCCTTCTCTTCTCTTAATTGACTTCAGGGTTTCCATTTCTGAGGACAGACTGTCCATCAACATAAAATGACAAGTTCACAGTTACCTCGACTATGCCTCCTCACACCCTGCTTCTTACAAGTATTCCATTCAATTCTATTCTCCCAATTTCTTAATTTTTGTTGCTCTGTTCCGAGGATGTCACTTCGACTTGGCTGCTTTTTCCTCAACCAAGGATCCTCCTTCCACTCAACCATTAGAGAGACCTCATGGAAATATGTCAAATTCTAACAGGACTCACAGGGTAAACATATGAAGGACATTCCTGATGGTCAGAGTGTCCAGAGCCAGGAGTCACTGTCTAAGGATAGGGGGTGGATCATTTAGGACTAAGAGGAAGAGAAATTTCTTCACCAAATGAATGGTGACCCTTGCTATTCACCTTATCTGTGTCCCTCACAGTTTTATAAACCTCTATCAATGTCACCCCTCAACCTCCTCAAAATGGCCTACTCCTGCATCTATTTTCTATATTTCTATCTCCTGCGCTTCTGCGCTCATGCCTTCTCCACTCTTTCCAAGAAAATGAATCCTTACTTTCTATCCCACTTGACTCCACATTCAAAGGATCCTTCTGCTATTTCTGCCACCCCCACACACATCTGCCCCACCCCTCCACTGTCAGCATTTTGCAGAGACCATTCCCTTCAAGGTATTCTAGTCAATTTCTCCATCACTCCTAATGCTTCCTCACTCCGTTAAGGCATATATCCATACAATCGCAGATGGTGCAACACTTGCCCATTCACTTCTTCTCTCATCTCTTGTCAAAGTCCCAAACACCTTCTAGGTGAAGCTTCATTTCAGTTGCACTTATTTCAATTTAAGTCTGTTCTTCATTTTAGTTATTCTCCCCGCACTGTCCCATTAACATGTTAACAGTGTTGAAAATGATGTAACAGCAATCATAACATCAAAGTCAATGTAGTATTTAAAAGGTAGAAAAGGGAGTTTGATTTATCCAGAATCCTTATAACACCACACCTAGCAGCCATTGATCCTAAGGGCACATGCTTATTTGCATGGCTCAGTAACCATCAGGCTCTGCAGCTTTGTGACTCAATGCCAAACACACTATCCACTCTAATTCCCAACAAATTATTTCCTAAGTCAATAATTCTTTATCATTTGACACCTATTGCTTAGCGTTTTCCAGGGCACAGTAGATCGTTCTACCTTCACCAACATTCTACTCAAAATGGAACTTCTCCACTTGTGCTCTGTCGCTGTAGTATATATGAGTGTAGCAACTCACCAAGTTTACTTTGGTAGCACTTTCTCCCTTGAGCAAAACAATGGTAACATTATCATGGAAGCATTTACTCCAAGTTACCTAAATTCTTCATGTCTGAATCACATTTCTGTATTCCCTCCCCGACAGATCACTTTACTATTACATGTGTTACTACCAAGACTGTCATAGAAAATAGCAGCCTTCACTGCCTTCTAAGGAGCCAGGGCAAAATAAATAAAGTCTTGCCAGTGCATAAAGCAATCCTTTAAAGAATCAATGAAAAAGATTGCACGAATGAAGTGTTTTTCATAACCTTGGGATATTCCAAAAGTATTTTGTAGCTATTGAAGTACCTCTTGAATGTAGCCATTGCCATAGAGGGAATATAGCTGCGAATTTGCTAAAGAAAAAGGAAATTTCATAGAAAAAAAACCCATCAGTTGTACCCAGGCTGGTGTGTAATCTGGAACGACCAACATTATGATTCAAAACAGAATACAACCAGATTACAAACCTTCACTGCTGTTTCGAAAGAATTTGTTACAAGACATTTTGTTGTCTATTTTTCCCCATTTCAGCTGGAGATTAAAAAAAAAACATACCAGGTGCCAGTTAAACAGATACTCAAAATGTTCAGTTATGATCTAATGTAGGCCTGCAAAGCCTGAGTGTTTAGAGGGAAAAAGAACAGTTTTCATTTACATACCAAAAGCATACTTGTTCCAGTGAGGTAGATAGAAGGAAATGAAGAATACCTTTTGTAGTCCAGAGACAGTGGTGCATTCTATCACTACCTTAAGCTTGTGATCACCCAGACTAATATGACAGATTTTTGATCTTTTACATCTAGTTAGTAATATACAAGGATTTGTTTAAAAAATTTGTTCATGGTAAATGGCGGTCACTGGCTAGGATAGCATTTGTCACGCACCCTGAATTGCTCCTTCATCCGAACAGTTTAGAAGGGCCATTTCAGATGGCAATTGATAATCAACCATGTTCCTATGGGTCTGGAATTACATGTAGACCAGACAAGGTAAGGATGGTAGATTCCCTTCCTTAAAAAGGGCATTAACAAACTAAATGGGTTTTTACAATATTCAACAATAATTACATGATCACGATTAGGCTAGCTTTAAATTCCAGATTTTTACTGACTCCAAATGTCACCATTTGCCACAGTGGGGTCTGAACTCATATCCAGAAACTCAGATGTTTTGGGGATTTTAGTCCAGTAACATCATCACTACATCACCATCTCTCCCTTATTTTTGCATGAAAGTTTAGGATTCCTACCGTGACAAGGTGGCATTCTCGATTCATAGGAACTAGAATTTCCCATATTATCATGCTGACCAAAACTACTTCCAAAGTTCTCGCGTCTTGAATATTTATCTGACTGTCCATCTGAAATACCAAAAGAACATAAATTATGTCAAATAAAATTTCAAATATGTTATTTATTCAGTTACTTAAAAATCAGTTTTCAGGGTTTCTTTACCAAGTGTGTACATACAAACCAAGTTCACTCTCTTACCTTGCGATCGCACCCGTCTTGGGTCATAGGCACTGGGACTTTCCATATTAAAATGATTGAAACCACTTCCAAAGTTGTCGTGTCGTGACTGGCTATCTGAATCAGCAAAAACAAAAAACTTTGAGCTACATTAATTAGATGCTGCTATATGGAAACCTTCTTGCATGCGTTGAAAATAATTACTCATCCTACCCTGTGAACATGCTATTCTTGATTTGAAGAAAACAGAAGTTGCAGTCATTCTCTGACTAAAGCTACTTCTGAAGTTTTCATGGCACAAAGGTTTGACCATTGACCATTCTAAATACTATAAGTAAAATTGCTTTGAATATGTAAACTCATGGCAAATTTTTAATCATATCTAATTTCCATGTACTGCCACCAAAAGATGGTAGCTTTTCCCCTTCAGCTAATGTTTAAAAATTAATTCAGGATATCATTGGCACTTGTTGCAGATTCCTTACAATTTGAAATGCCATGCAGTTCCTTGTTCATTCAGTCATAGACTCATATAGCATGGAAACAGACCCTTCGGTCCAACTAGTCCACGCTGACCATGTTCCAAATTAAACTATTCCCATTTGCCTGCATTTGGCCCACAAACCTCCAAACCTTTCATATTCATTTTGAGAAGATTTGTAGCTCGGGTTGTGGATGAGGTTGTAGACGAGGATGTAGACATGCTTGCTGAGCCGGTGGGTTTGGCTGCAAATGTTTTGTCACCCTACTAGGTAACATCGTCAGTGCACCTCTGGTGAAGTGTCGGTGTTCTGTCCCACTTGACCACCTTGTCCCATGACCGCAAGACTACTCAGACGCCTAGGTATCAGAGTAGCCCACAAACCAACAACCACCCTACAACAGCTACTGATGAATGTAAAGGATCCCATACCCAAAACCAGCAAAACTGGTGTAATATACAAAATACCAGCAAGGACTGTGAGAAACACGACAAAGGCCAACCTGGAAGAAAACTGACAATATGGATACACGAATACCAACTAGCCATCAAGAGACATGACCAATTCTCACTTGTCTCACTACACATGGACAACGAGGGACACGAATGCAACTGGGACAACAAATCCATAATTGCACAAGCCAAACAGTGACGTGCCAGGGAATTCCTGGAGGCCTGGTATTCCAACTCCATCAACAAACACACTGAATTAGACCCAGTGTACAAACCACTGAGAAACAGAACCAGAAAGCAAGACTAACCACCCCAGCAAACCAAGGCATACAAATAATAAGCCTAACAGAACACCAGCGTTTCACTGGAGGCTCACTGACGATGTTACCTAGCAGGGTGACGAAATGTTTGCAACCAAACCCACTGGTTCAGCGAGCATGCCTACAACCTTTCCTATTCATGTATTTAGCCAGATGTCTTTTAAATGTTATAACTGTAGCTGCATCCACCACTTCCTCTGGCAGTTCATTCCACACACGAACCACTGTGTCCTTTATAAATTTTTCTCATCTCACATTAAAAATATATCCCCTAGTTTTGAACTCTCCTACATAGGGCAAAGACCTTTGCTATTCGCTATATCCATGTCCTTCATGACTTTATAAGCCTCATATAAAGTTACTCCTCAACTTCCTACAATCCAGGGAAAAAAGTCCTAGCCTATTTTCAATAACTCAAACCCTCCATTCCCAGCAGCATCCTGCTAAGTCTTTTCTGAACCCTCTCCAATTTAATAATATCCTTCTTATAACAGGATGACCAGAACTGCACAGAATACGCCAGAAGAGGCCTCACCAACATCATGTACAACCTCAACATGATGCCCCAACTCCTATGCTCAAAGGTCTGAGCAATGAAGGCAATCGTTCTAACTATTGCCTACCTGTGATGCAAATTTCAACCTGAACCCGTAGGTTTCTCTGTTCTATAACACTGCTCAGGGCCCTACCATTAATTGTATAAGTACTGCCCTTGTTTGTTTTATCAAAATGTAATACCTTGCATTTATCCAGATTAAACTCCACCTGCCACGCCTCAGCCCATTGACCCAATTGATCAAGATCTCTTTGTAATTTTGGATAACATTCTTCACTGTCCCCATACGCCCAATTTTGGTGTCATCCTCAAACTTACGAACCATGCCTCATCACAGCTACCACATTTCTTAAACCGTTATCTATTTGGCAATGGATAAGATAAAAAGGTACAAAGAAATCTTCCCAGTTAGTCAAGCACTGAGTGTAAGAGACTTACAATTATCTGGAACTCTTTTCCCAGGGTTTCCTCCAGAAAATTCAACTGGGGTATCATCCACGACAACCTGAAATTCACAACGTATGTTTCTGAAGAGCTCCAAGAATCAGTTGATCATCAAAACACCCGCCCTAGCCCACACCAGCCGACGTTTTAAATAATCATTCACCCTGAAGCTAGTACTCAGCCCTTTCTCACAAACTCTCCTCTTGGTTTAAATACCTTCATTACTAGCGCTTCCCATTATTATAGCAGCCTTTGTACCGACAATTTTTTCCCATCAGTTGCTGCCCCTCATTTGAGGCCCACTGTCCAGTGACGCTTCTCGTGTATTCCTTTCCTCACACACCCCAAAGGCAATTGTTTCAGTTTCAGGTTGCAAATTCTATTGCTAAACTTCTTTTATGCATTTCACTACCCCGCTTTAAACTTCACCTGATCGATCAAGCTTTAAATCTCCCGGAGATTCAATTTTAGGTTAAGTTGAATAATTGAGGAAGAGGTACACAAGAGCTGAATTTGCACTTACTCAGATGCTCACTGCATCTCTGCCTTCCTTACCTTGCCATTTCACAAACTGTTGGTCATTCAAAACATATAGCATTACAGTATTTGCGTTGCTTTGCCTTTTCACTCAGAAGCACAGCCAAGCAGCTCATCATATTTGCCAGCAACAAATGGTCAGTCAAGAGGGCAGACATACAGTCAGTGTTATACAGCACTGCAACAGACCCTTCCATCCAACATGTCCACTCTGACCAAACATCCTAAATTGATCTAGTCCCATTTGCCAGCCTTTGGCGCATTTCCCTTTAAACCCTTCTTACTATTATACCCGTCCAGATGCCTTTTAAAATTTCTAATTGTACCCACCTGCACCATCTCCTCTGGCAGTTTGCTCCACACACCTACCACCCTCTGTATGAAAATTTTGCCCCTCAAGTCCTTTTTAAATCTCTCCCCTCAACTTACACCTATGCCCTCTAGTTTTGGACTCTCCTACTGCACTGTGCTCTGTCAAAGTTGCACAAAAATCATTTGACAGCAGCTTATGCAGCAAACATATGATGTGCTTCAACCAAACAATCATGTCTTAAAGTCTAAGAGGACCAGGTGGTGGTCGGGGTCAAGGATTCCATATTATTACTGTTAAAGAAATGGGCTATTTCCAGTCCCGATGACAATCCAGTTCCTAAGAGTCATTTTTTTTTGATTAAGATTCAAGTTAACTGATCTTTAGCACCCTTTATTCTTTTACCCCACCTTCTTGATGTATGTTACAGCACAGTTATTTTTGTTAGCTTGTGATCCACTCAGACTGTTCTGGAATCATCCACAATTACTACACTCCCTTATTTACAAGTGCCAACAAATTTTTGTTCAATGCTCTGTCCAATGCTGTGCAACCTTTAAACTACTTCCCAACTTTTTCTGCACACTAACCCAGGCACGAGCAATTGAGCATAATCGATATATATTTTCCTTGCAAAACAAGATTAAGACCCAGAATTAAAATCTTGAAAAATATTATATTTACCTTAACACTGCCCCTTCCATCAATCTTCTCAATAAATTCTGCCTTTTCTTTAACTAATGCATTCAATTCTGATTGCTTTAGTTTTACTCCGTCAAGCTGTAATGCATCTGGGTATGCTCTTCCCTGGAAAAAAATCAAGTAGCATTACATTGATGGAAATGGCACATAGCTTTCTAATAATTCCACTAGAACTAGACTTTAAGACAATGTTTGAACCATTTCCCCCTCCCCCGCCAAGTCTCGTGTTTGTTGCATAATTTAAAACTTCAAAATGGGTTGCTTCTCAGAAAATCTTTTCCAAGTGCTCCAGGAATTTATCTTATTCCCAATTGCAATATTATTAGCCCCATCTTCAGCTGCCTACATCACCACCTACCCTTTTTCTTAGTTCCCTGTTTTCTCTCTCCCTCTTTTCATGAACAAGGGAACTATATTTTGCTCCCTTCTAATACACAGGGGCCATTCTAGAAACTGATAATTCTGGAATGAAGAAAACAATGCATTTACTTTTTCTGCAGCCATAACCCGTGAACTATATCTTCTACATCTCAGATGATCATTGGATTTATCAATTTTTAGGCTCATTAACTTTTTTTCCCTTTCTGCTACTTTTTGCACACTCAACAGATCTCTGCCTCCCTGCTACTCCAGGGATTTATTTTGTGTCTTCCACTTAAGTCAGATACAAACGATTTATTTTAATGTTTCTGCCATTTCCTTATTTTGTTATAATTTATGCATTTGGCCTCCAATAAACCACTACTTGCTCTTACTAATATCGTCCATTTCACTTAATTAGAGACAATTATAAATTAGGGGGATGGGTCTGGGTGGGATGCTCTTTGGAGGGTCAGTGTGGACTTGACAGGCCAAATGGCCTGCTTGCACACCTCAAGAGATTCCATGATTGCTCTCTGGGTCAGCACTTATTTCGCATTTCTAACTGCTCTTGACAAGGTAGTGTTCACTGCAGCCCATTTGGTGTTAATACCATTATGTAGGGAGTTCCAGGATTTTAATCCATTGACACTGAAACAAATGTTGATAAACTAAAAAAAGTCAGGATGGTGTGTGGCTTGGAGAGAAATATGCAAGTGGTGCTCCTCCCATTTATCTGCTGCTCTTATTCCTCTAGATGGTTATTGTCTGGCACTTGTGTGGCACGAATGTTACTTGTCAGCCCAAGCCTAGACATTGCTCAGGTCTTGCTGCATTTGGATATGCCGACTGTTTCAGTATCTGACAGGTCACAAATGGTGCTGAACGTTGTGCAGTCAGTGAATGTTCCTACTTCTGATGTTAATACAGAGGGAAGGCCATTGATGATGTAACTGAAGAAGGGCCAATGACACTACTGAGAAACTTGTGCAAACGTGGAATGGAAATGACTGACTTCCAACAGCACAACCATATTCCCTTGTGAAAGCTATGACTCCACCAGCAGAGAGATATCCCTCTTAGAGCCCACTGACACCTGTTTTCCAAGGGTTCCTTGAAGGCCACTGTGTGGCATCATGTCAAGGGCAGTCACTCTCATGCCATCTCTGGAATTCAGCTCCTTACTGGCCTACTCCTCTATCTTAACATTGGTGAACAAAAGACATTTTATTGAAGCTTTTCATTTATGTTCATCAGGTCACTTTGCAAGAAACATCACTGTAAAAGGAAAATCATTTACTGAATTAGGAGAATGCCGAATAGTTGCCAAGACCAATCTGATTGATCAAGGTAAAGCCATGGAGTATGCACCAGTTAATGACGGATATTTAAAGCTCCAAGGCTTGTATAAATGATGAATGAACCAGAGAACAGCTGTCATTTTTTCGTTTTGAGTTCAAACAGGCACTGTGCCTGCAAAGAACAGGACTGTGTGTATCAATACATGCAGCTTCCAGGACATGCAAGTACACCATACTGTGAGCTCAACTGATAATCCTTTACACAAATGGAAGTTTCAGATCTTAGGTGAATAGGCATTAAAAATTTTATACAGACTTAACCACTGATGCCATCTCAGAAATGCTTACCATATAATTCAGCCTGTGCTTATAACCAAGTAAATGTGAGATGAAGGAGGAAAATCCTCCTCGACAATTGCAAAGTCCACAGAAGAACGTTGGATCTGGTGACTGTTCAGTCTGATATTCAATTACATATTTCAGTCCTGTAGAAACACACATATCTAAGACTCCAGATTTAAGTTATTGAGGATTATTAATTAAAAATTGTTTACTCAAGTTCAACTACTTATTTGGTTGAAATGACAACTTAATAAAAAAAGAGACATGTCCAAGTAACAATTCATGTTTTAGGTTCATGATACAGAACCACGCCAGAAAACCCTTGTATTTCAACTGCAAGTGCAGCAGCTGGGCATAAACCAAATTACCAGTGCAGTGGTGATCATTAGAAATTGAATTCCAGTTTTTGTTTTAAAACAAAAAAAAAGTGGACAACGAGGCATCCTACTGGTTTTTAGTGTGGAAATATGACAATACAAACCAAGACAATGTCAATCGATTAGTAGAATATCAGCCAATACTGAGGCCTTAATCTCCATTGTGAATTTGGAGCTGCAACTTCAAGAAATCCAAAATCTCACCAAGAAAATGAGAAGTTACTCTTACACCCTGTAGGCAACCTTATTTGGCAATGTGAGCTAAATATGTCTAATAAATCTTAAGATTAGATATACCCAATAATAGCCAATAAAGGTAACCCCAGTACACTGCTGAAAATAGGTTGTCTTAAAGAAGCAAACATCATAACAATTAAAGAGGCTTCCTAGTCGAAGTTGGTTGATATGGAAATACTATTTTGTGTAAAACACAGCAAACTTCAAAAATTACAGGCACTGTGCACCCAACTTCAAACTGTTCAGTTCACTTACCCGGATTCCTTTACAAAAAAAAAATGTTTAAATTGCATCTCAGAAGCAACCCATCATGGTCAGTACTCGTTTTTATATCACCTATTCCCATTACCAATAAGGAGCATATGACTAAATCGAGACTCTTATTTCAGGAATCCCTTGCTGTCTACACCTTTAATACTAGAGGTACATCCAAAAACAGATTACAAACATAGCTCAGCAGGTCTGGCAGCATCCATGAAGAGAAATCAACGTTAACATTTTGAGTCTGGTGACCTTTCCTCACAGACCTGCTGAGCTTTTCCAGCAACTTATGTTTTTGTTTCTGATTTACAGCATCCGCAGTTCTTTTGGTTTTTATGATGGACGTAGGTTGGTCAAATAAACCCTTCAGCCTACTCCACCATTCATTTAGATAATTATATTCAAGCTAAGCAATACCATAACTTGGTTTAGCCACCTCAGCTCCACACAGCATAACATTCATATATAATAGTGAAAAAAAGACAACTGTTCCCACAAGACATCTCTAACGTGATCACAGAATGAACAGCAAGCTTCTGGAAAGCATGAATCAAAAGAACATGTTGCCTCAGTTCCTGAATGAAACCACTCTGACCCATAATGTGGGTATCAATCTATATCGAACAAGGCAATGTCTGTATTCCCTTCCTCTCTCTGAATTAAAATTGCTAATGAAGGTTTGGATTAGTTTTATTCGACAGATTGTACAAAGACAAATTATTACTGTCCCACGTTTACGCCTAGGATTTATCCGTTATAAAGCACAGTTGTTATTACATTAATTCTAAAAAGCCGTCCTGTTTACATCTCCAAACCTGGAAAAGAACCAATAGATATACAATAGCAGACAAATTAATTTACTGATTAATACATGCTATAGGATAAAATAATCTTATTGGGAAAAAACATACCAATTAAAGGATCATTTATGCCGACATCTCTTATGTGTTGTTCCAAAAGGGATGACCCATAGGCATGTGGTGCATCAATTGTTGGTACCCTTTTTTTAACTACAACAGAAGAACCCATAATTAAATAGATTACATTTACAAACAAAAAAGACTAACGATCTAGTGCTACTTCTAGCAACTATGCTAGACATATCAAGGTTCAGAAACAATACATAGTACGGCATATGATCCACAATATCTCTATGTAGAGTCTGCTCTCAAATGCCAATGAAAAGATGCAATTAATTTTTACTTGATATGCACTTAACAAGTAGACATATGAAATGGGTATCTCAAGCCTTTTCTGGAATTTTGAAATCTTGCATAAACACAGTTTAACTCCCTTATTTAATTCTTTCAATGGCTGTGGACATTGCTGCGAGAGAAGCATTTGTTACCCATTCCTAACCACCCTCGAAACGGAGTGGCTCGCCAGGCCATTTCAGAGAGCCATTAAGAGTCAACCACATTGCTATGGATCTGGAATCACATTTAGGTCACACCAAGAAAGTACAGTAAATTTCCTTTTCTAAAGGACTTCAGAGAACCTGATGGATCTTTATGTCAATTGATGATAGGATTGCCATGGCTGATGCAAGCTTTCACTTCCAGATTTATTTATTGAACTCAAACTCCTAAAACAGAGGGATCTGAACCAGTGACCCCAAAGCATTTAGCTGGGCCTCTAGTGTGATAGTGCAGACTGCACTATCCATTATTCTTCACTATCCAGTATTTAATCAAATAAAATACTTTTACCTCAGATGAAATGAGATGTCTTACCCTTCTATAGTAGGCAGACGCAGATTTAGCGCGGAAAGACCAAAACTGACGGTCTTAGGCCAATTCAGGAATTTGTGTAATGTACAATATACAGCATGAAATAATCTCATTAGGGTAGCCATTATCCTGTAAAATGGCTTTGATGTGCCCCATATTAGCATCAAGCTTGCAGTGTGAACCAAAGTTCCAGACTCTACTTGGTTGCCAATAAAGCCAATCATACAGCACGTGGATCTGTAGGAATCCCATGTATATACTAGAGATAGTAGGAACTGCAGATGCTGGAGAATCCGAGACAACAAGGTGCAGGGCTGGATGAACACAGCAGGCCAAGCAGCATCATAGGAGCAGAGAGGCTGACGTTTCGGGCCTAGACCCTTCATCAGAAAAGGGGGAGGGGAAGGGGGTTTTGAAATAAATAGGGAGAGAGTGGGAGGCGGATAGAAGAGGGATAGAGGAGAGGATAGGTGGAGAGGAAACAAACAGGTCGAAGGGGCGGGGATGGAGCCAGGAAAGGTGAGTGTAGGTAGGGAGTTAGGAAGAGGATAGGTCAGTCCAGGGAGGACGGACAGGTCAAGGGGGCGGGATGAGGTTGGTCGGTAGGAGATGGAGGTGCGGCTTGAGGTGGGAGGAAGAACAGGTTAGGGAGGCGGGGACGAGCTGGACTGGTTTTGGGATGCGGTAGGGGGAGGGGAGATTTTGAAACTTGTGAAATCCACATTGATACCATTGGGCTGCAGGGTTCCCAAGCGGAATATGAGTTGCTGTTCCTGCAACCTTCGGGTGGCATCGTTGTGGCACTGCAGGAGGCCCAGGATGGACATGTCGTCTGAGGAATGGGAGGGGGAGTTGAAATGGTTCGCGACTGGGAGGTGCAGTTGTTTGTTGCGAACCGAGCGTAGGTGTTCTGCAAAGCGGTCCCCGAGTCTCCGCTTGGTTTCCCCGATGTAGAGGAAGCCACACCGGGTACAGCGGATGCAGTATACCACATTGGCAGATGTGCAGGTGAACATCTGCTTGATGTGGAAAGTCTTCTTGGGGCCTGGGATGGGGGTGAGGGAGGAGGTATGGGGGCAGGTGTAGCACTTCCTGCGGTTGCAGGGAAAAGTGCCGGGTGTGGTGGAGCTGGAGGGGAGTGTGGAGCGGACAAGGGAGTCACGGAGAGAGTTGTCCCTCCGGAAAGCAGATAAAGGTGGGGAGGGAAAGATGTCTTTGGTGGTGGGGTCGGATTGCAGATGGCGGAAGTGTCGGAGGATGATGCGTTGGATCCGGAGGTTGGTGGGGTGGTACGTGAGGACGAGGGGGATTCTTTTTTGGTTTTTATTGCGTGGACGGGGTGTGAGGGATGAGGTGCGGGAGATGTGGGAGACACGGTTGAGGGCGTTCTCGACCACCGAGGAGGGGAAGTTACGGTCCTTGAAAAACGAGGACAACTGAGATGTACGGGAGTGGAATGCCTCATCCTGGGAGCAGATGCGGCGGAGGCGAAGGAATTGGGAATAGGGGATAGCATTTTTGCAGGAAGGTGGGTGGGAGGAGGAGTATTCTAGGTAGCTGTGGGAGTCGGTGGGCTTGAAATGAATATCGGTTTC